AGTTACAATGCTGAAATTCCCTCCTAGATGACCTGGAAATGCCTCACAGTGTGAGCCTACTGGTTCACTGGTTTTGGACCCCCCACTCCCAATCTATTTTCCTTGTTTTCCTTAAATTGCCTCTTCTTAGTGAGGGAATAGGCAACTGGACTGTGAACTCAGTGTTCCTCTTATGTAAACCTGCTAATCTTTAATTGTGGGAAATTCTTGCCATTTTTTTCTGGTTTTGTAAGGTTTATATGACCTTCTTGATAGCTCATAGTGAGCATTTGCAGAAATATGGACCTTGATTGCTTCACCTGACCTTCTGTTCTTGTCCTAAATTCAAATATAATTTTGAGGATGAAGTGAGCATTATTCCTCAAGGCTCCCCAGAGCTTTTGTAAGGGTTTGGGGGAAGAAATCTTAAAATAAGTTTGGAACCCAGCTCAGAATCAAGAATGTAGCAGGAAGTATAAGGAATTTCCTAACCCTAGTCATATAGTTGCCTTGGACCATGGAACTTGAATCAACACCGGACAAGAGCAGTAAAAGAATAAATTTAATCTTATCCATAGAAGCATGTTGACTGTTTTTATTGATTGCCATATAGGAGGCCTCGATTATGCAATAAGAGATGGTAGTTTCCTTCATCAAGGAGAGACTTGTTAATTACTGCACCACAGTGGATGGGAGCAGAGTCCCTGAAGGAGTTAATAATACCCAGCCTATCATGCTAGATAGAAGGTCTATGTCTACAGAGATGCTCAGCACAGGCAAGACAACCCCCAATAGAGATAAAACTTGATGGCAAGCAGAGACAGCATGATGCTCAACTGAAATGACACAATGCCCAGAAGACTGCAAAGACAATGCCCTGCAGAGAGCAGCACAATGATGTCACCAGAGGATGTTGGCATCAATGCAGCATTGGAGATGTGAATTGGCCGGGCCACATGGGTTGTTCTGTGTTTATGCTCCATGGTTCCTGATGTGTGTACCTTCTTTGTGTGTGCTCTGGCTTTACTGGCTCCTGAGGCATTGCTATCAAAAAGAAAGGCTTTCATATTGCAGTAGGTGTGTGTGTGTGTGTGTGTGTGTGTGTGTGTGTGTGTGTGTGTATGACCAGTTTTGGAGAGAAATCTTTTCCATCACTGGGGGGCTCAAATGTCCTATATTAGAAGTGACTAATCAGTGACCAGACTGCTGTGGGTCTTGGAGCAGGACTGCCTGATCGAAGGTTATAGCGATGATCACAGGAGTGACATAACATTCTGGGTTCTGCTCTAGTACTCCTGGACTTTGGACAAGGCCCCAGCTGGATGACTTACGTGTACTCAAAGGTAAAACTAGAAGCAGGAGAAGTAGGAAGGAATGGGCATGAAGGGAGGACATCCATTCTGTTAGGGCTTGAAACTAAAGCCTCCCCCAAAGCCACATCCCTCCATACTCCTTGATTCAGGAGGCAATCCCAGTAGCTGTTGTGTGCTACCAACTGAGAATAAAGAGGTCTAGACAGAAACCACCAGGGCATCTTGTGGTCATTTAAGGTCAACTGGGATTGCATATTTATTTTTACTTTTGTTATCTTAGAGAGATAAGAAGTTTGGCAAAATGCTTGCCTTTTCTAAACGGTTACTATGAATATGGTTAGCATACACCAAGGTGGTCATTCATGGGGACTTCCTAGGATGTCTGAACAAGAAAAGCTGTTCCTAGGTAACTATAAAAAGCAATAAGTTTCTCTGATAAAGGTCTCATATCCAAGATATATGAGTAAATGATTTAAATTTATGACCAAGAACCATTCCTCAGTAGACAAATGGTCAAAGAATATGAATGGGCAGTTTTCAGAAGAAGAAATCCAACTTATCAACAACTATATGAAAAAATGCTCCAAATCACTAATAATTTAGAGAAATGAAAATTAAAGCAATTCCAAGGTTCTACCTCTCACCCATCAGATTGGTAAAGATGACAAAAAAGTAAGCGAGAAATGTTGGAGGGGCTATGGTGAATCACGCATACTGATACACTGTTCATGAGCTATGAATTAGTCTAGCCAATCCGGAAAGCAATTTGGAGCTGCACCCCACAAGGCACTAAGCCACTCCTACTCTTCTACCCAGCAATACCACTATTAGCCTTATACCCCTAAAGAGATTAAAAAAAAAAGAAAAGAACCCATATGTACAACAATATTTATAGCAACTTTTTTCATAGACAGTGGAAATTAAGGAGGTATCTACCTATTGGGAAATGGCTAAATGAACTAAGGTATATGAATATAATGGAATTATTGCACCACATGAAATAGTGAAATGGAAAGTTTCTGAAGAAACTAGGAAGACTCATGAACTGTTGCAGAGGAAAGTGAGCAGAACCAGGAGAATAATTTGCAAAATGACAACAGTGTTGTAAAGAAAAACAATGTGGACAAACTTTGAAACTCTGATCCTTACAAGGATAAACCATGATTGCTGAAAACTGAAGATGAAATATGCTATCCATTTCCTGCTCAACTTAAAATGCAGAATGAGACAAATATTTTTGGAAATATCCAATGTGGGAATTTGTTCTGCTGTTTATTTATATTTATATATTTATATTTATAATGAGAGTTTTATTAATGTTTTTTTTAATTGTTAAATGGGGGAGTGAGTTTGGAAGGAGACAGAATAAATGCTTGCAAAAATAATAATTTTTTTAATAACTAATTTTTTGAAAGGAACATTTCAACTGTTTATTTTTGTAAATTTAAGATTTAAAAAAATTAAGAAATCTATTTTCTCTCCCTCCCATCCCTCACCAAATAAGTGTCCAAATATAAGAAGCACATAGACCTTGCTGGGGGGCAGGAGGTGGGGTTGGGGGAGGAGAGAGGGCATGGCCAATAAGAAAGGACCCAGACACAAGCCAGAGCTGCCAATTGAGTGGAGAGGAAGCTGCATTAAAAGCTGCAGCAGCTGAGTGACCTACTCTAATTGAGCCTCAGTGAAGAAAAGAAAGAAGGGAAACAGCTTCAATTGAGAAAAAAAGTAAGTGAAGATGTAGCTTCAATAATAATAATTATACATATAATATATATATATTTAATAATCTAATATGCATTTAATAATACAGCAAGAATTTGGGCCAGAGGCTGGGGCAGCAGGGAGCTACATGCCAAAGAAAAGGTAGTACCCTCGCAGCTCAGAAGGTGCACTTGTGATCATGGAGAGAAAGTATGTCTGCTGAATGTTGGTGGTTTTGTCCTGGACTATTGATGCACTAGGGCACGAGCCCTTTCTGCATATTCTGCCCAGTTAAATCAAATCGGTTGCCCTCTTGGCCATCAGTCGGTGGCTTCTATGGACTTGTATTTCTCCTATTAGAACGTAAGCTTCTTGTGAAGGGAGAGATTCTAACTTTTGCTTTCTGTCCTCAGAACCTAACACAGTGCCTGGCACAGAATACTCATGATAGACCCTTTTCCTTTCATTCATGCATTCATGCGTTGCTTACCTGAGTGCTTGGTTGAAAGCCCTTTCCAGAGATTTTCAAAATAAGCATGATACTGAAATTCCCATTGTTTTCCTTGGTGGAGACATAAGCAGAGAGATTTTGTGAGAGATGCCTTCAAAACTGTGTCCAGATCTCTGGGCCAAGCTATCTGTCCTGCACCTCACCCCCTACCTTTGACCTGTCAATCTGGAAACCAATCAAATCAATACTAGAGCAGGTTAGTTGACTCCCTTCTTTCTCCATGAGTCATTCCTGTGACTCCTCAGATCCAAATTCCCCTCCCTGGCTACTACCTACTCCCCTACCTGAGTTAGTTTTCCCCATTAGAAAGTCAGCTCCTAGGGGCAGGGACTGTCTCACTTTTGATTTTGTATTCCCAGTGTTTAGCTTACTACTTAGCAGATAGTTGGCTCTTAAGAAAAGTTTTTCTTTCATTCCTGTCATCAGAAGGTAAGTGTGGGTGTCTTCTGGTTTATTAAAGGTCTAAAAGAAATAATTAGCTCTCAGAAGCATAGAGGGGAAAGGACTATTAGGGGCTACTCAGTCCAAAACAGATTTGAACAGGAATTCTCTCTACAACTTGCCCATTCAGTCTATGCTTGAAGACTTCTAGCGATGGGAAAGCCTGTTCCTTTTGCAATCCCCTCAGGGTGTGAGATTCTGTGGCTTTTGGTGAGGTCTCTCTCTAAGGATTCATCAGTGTCCAGTCCTAAAGAAGGCCTGAGTCTGCACTTGGATGCTGGCTGCTGTCAGTGCTATATCCAAAGGACCAGAGGCAGACCAGAGGATGCTCATTCAGTGATACCTCTGGGTCAGTCCAAGTCATAGCCAGAGGGCTGAGAATGCTTGGGGAGGGGGACCACAAAGAAAAACGGGGATCCAGAGGCTAAGGAGGTGAAGGTTGACTTCTGCCTCAAATCTAGGACCAGCTTGACTCTCCCAGAGGTGGGAAGAACAGATGCCTTTACCAGGATGGGCTGGGCAGAATGCCGCACTCATTATCTGAGCTCTGGGTAGGTGAGTGGGAGGGTTTGGGTGCTGGGGGAGTTTGTAGGGAAGGAGTGAAAAAGTGATGATTCTGCTGTCAATCAGACAGGTCCAGCAGGAGAAAGGACATTGAGCTTTTGGCATCCCATGTGGGTTTGGAAGCACTCAAGCAGACTCTTATAGGAGCAGCTTGAGGAAAAAGGGCACACATTGCAAAGGTACCAGCTACAAAGGACAGGAGTGTCTGGGATCTGGAAAACGAACAGGTGAGGAGACAAGAGAGGGCGCTTCCCTGGAAATTTTCCATCTGCCAGATGAGACCAAAGAGGCCTGGGCCTAGGAGAAGGCAGAATGGGGGCTGTTTCCCTCCCCTACCTGCCAATCCTCCCATTCAGGCAATGGCTTCTTTCCTTCAAGAAAATAAGGTGAATCCTGGGATGGCAGATGGTATGACTGAGCTGCATTGGGTAAGGATGGTGCCAATCTTCTGTCTTCTATAGGGTCTGTAGGAGAAGGAGACTGAAGAATCCATGGCTCCCTACCATATCCGCAAATATCAGGACCAAGACAGAGAAGCTGTGATGGACATGTTCATTCAGGGACTACTAGGTCACATTCCTTCTGGCTTCTTCCATCTACTGAAGAAGCCTAGAAGCTTCTTGCTCCTGCTAGGAGGCCCAGGGGCTCTGTATTTTGCCTCTGGCTCCCTCCTCCTATCTCTCCTGGCCTTCCCAGGCATCTTGGCCTTGCTGTGGCTAGCTGTTAGATATCCCTTCAACTGGTATGTGGACAATGCTTTACACACTGACATGCGAGACATCAGGAAATCCTATCTCAGTGACAGAGGATCTTGTTTCTGGGTGGCAGAGTCAGAGGGTAAGGTGGTGGGCACGGTGTGTGCCTGCCCAGTACAAGGGGTTTCAGAAGGACAGAAACGCCTGGAGCTGCTACATTTGAGAGTGAGACCGGAGCAGTGGGGCAAGGGCATCGCCAAATCACTGACCCAGACGGTGCTCCAGTTTGCACAGGACCAAGGGTATGATGTTGTGGGGGTGAATGTCCTTTGCTATAATTACCCAGCTCAAAGAGTATATGAGCAGATGGGCTTCTGGAAAACACATGTAGCCTTTGATTCTCTAAAATGGAGGGTGGTGGCTATTCCTTTTTTCTACTATGAATATTCAGTCCCTTCTTCACTCTGAAAGCTCCCCCGAGCCATCTTGGCCTTTAGCCCTTTATAGATTGGCCCACCTATCAGTGCTCACTAAAGGCTCTTAACTTAACCAGTATTATTGACTTTCTCCCCTTGTGACAAAAGGTCTTCTCCCAAACAGAGGGGCTTAAGATGGGTAAAATCACAGGATCTCAGTATTGGAAAGGACCTCACTGGCATCCAGCTAACCCACTGCTAACCAGAATCCCTACCACAATGTACCTGACAAATGGCCATCCATGCTCAGCTCAGACAACTTCAATGAGGGAAATGCTTAGAAAGCAGCCCATTCCACTTTGGATGACTCTAATTGTTAGGAAGATTTCATTTAATGCTGCCTAATCTCCTCTGTGGTCCTCCCCACCCCACCCCCCCTTACTTCTCATTCTTGCTGCTGGGACCAAGTGGATTTCTCTTCTACATAGCTTCCTTCATATCCTTGGTGATGACTATCCTGTCAACCTCTCTAGTCCAATCCAATTCAATAAACATTTATTAAGTGCCTAGTATAGAAGTGCTGGGGATAAATTAATAAAAAGAAAGCTAATCTCTGCCCTCAAGGAGCTTACAGTTTAAAAGGGGACTATTTCCAAAGATGATTAGGGGAAAAGGAAAAGAATGTGCATGTTCTAAAAATGTTTATAGCAGCTCTCTTTTTGGTGGCAAAGAACTGGAAACTGAGGGGATGCCCATCAATTGGGGAAGGGCTGAACAAATTGAGATATATGATTGTGATGGAATATTACTGTGCTAGAAGACACAATTAGCTCAATGATTTTAGAAAAAAAAAACCATGGAAAGACTTGCACGAAATAATGAAGAGCAAAATGAGCAGAACCAAGAGAACATTGTATACAGTAACAGCAATGATGTTGTAAGAATGACTTTGAGTGAGTAAGTTATTTTGTCTATTATAAATACCCAAATTAACTATAAAGGACATATGAGGAAAGATATTATCTTCATCCAGAGAAAGAACTGATTAATAGAAGTATGTATAGAATAATTTTACATACATACATATATATATATATATATATATCCCCCTATTCACATAGAGGTACATATACATTTAGTTATATGTACTTATATACATATAGGTATAGATATATTTACATATATATGCCTATTGTTGTCTAATGGTTGCCATTTATGGGGTGGAGGGAGGGACTGGAAAAAAAGAAATTTACATGATAATTTTGTTGTATATTTGAAAGGAATAGCAAGTTGTGCATAGTAGATTTGCAGTTTCATGTACAAGCATCTTTTTTTACTGTACTATGTTATAGAAATGCTTGTTTTATTCCATAAACTAAAAACAAAATAAAATAAAGCAATTTAAAAGAGGATACAACACACAAAAGGAGGCAGGAAGGGGTGGGGGGATGGGACCCCAGGGGTACCAAGGTGGGAGGGAATCTTGTTCCATGGAGTTGAAAGCAGGCAGGGCAGCAGATGCAAGATGGAGCACCTTTCAGATACACATTCCTAGTTCCTTCTACCAACATCCATATGATATAATCTCAGGGCTCTTCACCATCCTGGTGAGACATTTCCTAAAATATGGTGCCTCAAACTGAACAAAATATTTCAGATGTGCTCTGACTAGGTTAGAGTAAATACAGTGTGATCATCACTTCCCCAGTGCTGGAAATATGTGCAGTCTGAAACCCAATTAGCCTTTTTGGCTGACATATCACTCTACTGATCCACAATGAGCTTTCATTCCACCCTCCCTCCTCTGACCTTTTTCAGATGGACTGTTCTTTTCCCATCTCATACGTGTGAAGTTTTTTTTTTTTTTAAGTCAAAATTTAAACGCTTTCTTGTACACCCACTAAATTGGATCTTATTAGAGTCAGCCTAGACTTCTAGGCTTTGTGATCTTAACTCCTCCATTACTTGAGTCAGCTGATCCAGTGGATAGAGTGCTAAATTTGGGAATCAAGAAGATCTGAGTTTAAATCCAGTCTCAGACACTAGCTATGGAACCCAGGGAAAGTCGCTTAACAGCAGTCTGACTCAGTTTCCTCAACTCTAAAGTGGCCATAATAATAGTGTCCACCTCCTAAAGTAGTTGTGAGGGTAGATTGAGATATTTGTAAACATTAAAGTGCTATACAAATGCTAACTATTTTTTCCAGTATCAGAAACCAATATAAGGATTGACAAACCAAGACATATTGGTAGCAGTCAGTAAAACAAGTATTTGTTAAATACTTAGTATGTGTTTGGCACTGTGCCAAATGTTGGGGATACAAAGAAGACAAAAAACATGGCCTCTGCTCTCAAGGAGTTCATATTCTAATGGGGGAAACAGCATGCAGGTAGTTGGGTCCATAAGAGATAAATAGGTGTTACATAAAAGATATATAAACAATATACGGAAGGCAACCTCAGAAGAGAAGGCATTAGCTCAGCAGCTGGATGGGTCAGGGAAGGGCTCCTGCAGAAGGGATAATGTGAGTAGTGAAGGAAGTCAGGGAAGCTAGAAATTGTAGGTGAGGAGGGAGAGGTTCCAGGCATGGGAGACAGCCAGTTCAAAGATAAGCATAATCCCTACAGTCTCTCAACTAGAAAGGGGCTATAGGAGAGTGAGTGAGATGGCAAAGGGAGGGAAGGAAAGGGAAAACTAAGGAGGAAATGAATTCCAGGCGTCATGGGCAGTCAGTGAAAAAGCATAATGATAGGAGATGGAGCTCCATGAGTGAAAAACAGAAGGAAGGCCAATATGGACAGATAACAGATTGCCAGAGGGGGAGTAATAGCCAATGAGTCTAGAAAGACAGGTTGGGACCAGAGGGCACAGGGCTTTAAAAGCTAAAACTGGCTTCCTTGCAATGCCTCAGGCTTGGTATTCCATCCCCTTCCTGTAAGTGTTAACACAAACTGTCTTGTACTCTCAAGCCTGGAATGCATTCTCACCTCTTTTTTGCCTGTTAAAATTTCTAACTTTATTTATTTTTTAAACTGAATACAGCATTTTATTCTTGGCATAGAATTTTTAAAAGCAATAAATAATACATCATAAAACACTAACCAATTAGTTTCACGTCTATAGTCTCTCCTACACCCAATCAGTTTTTAGGCAGTACATAAGCAACTTCAAACCCAAGAGTTCTAGGAAACTTGTGATCCTGTAGTCTTAGTACACACTCCTCCTGTGAACAGGCAAAGAAGTGTAGGCAATACAACCTAGTTCACTTCTGACATTCAATTCACCCATCTAGAAGTTTTTAGATGAAGATTCGAGAACTTGGGGATTTTGTGGGGGTTTTTTAATTAATTTGTTTTAAAGTTAAATACTAAAACTTACATACACAATAAAAATGAAAAAGAAATAAATTATAAACTTAAATACCAAAATTTACACATAAAAGAAAAATGGAAAAAAAGCATTGCTATGTGTACAGCAGAACGTAAGACAGGATTCAAAATAGATAGCAATAAATTTCCATTTCAAGAAAGCCTATATAATAAATGCTACACATTGTATTCAGAGCCGTCCAGCTTTGCTTTACTTCTTTGTAAGTTTTCTTTTGTTCTCTGTGGTGCACATTTTGCTTGCTACAATAAAGGGCAGATACACACTCATATGTATGCACAAACATATATAGATACCTACATATACTTACATACACATACACATACTTAGATATTTAACCTACCCCTCCTCCAAAGATACCTCCCTTATCCTCTCCCCCCTTTCCCCTTACCCTCTTGTTTCTATCTGAATATAAAAGACCTTTATAGCCTTCCAAATATATGTTATTCCCTCTTTATCCCATTCTGCTTAGTCTAGACACCCTTCTATACCTCCCCCCTTATCCTATTCCCTCACCCTCTTATTTCTTTATAAATTTAGAATACTTTTATTCCCTTCTAAATGTATAATTGTTCTCTCTTTAACCAGATCTGATGTAAGTAGGATTCCCTCTAAAAATCCCTTCCTTATCCTCTCCCCCCTTCCTATCCCCTTTGCCTTTTATTTCTTTCTGAATTTAGAAGACTGTTATGCATACATACATACATACACACACAGACACACACATATATGAGTATATCTATATACATACATACACACATATATAGTTCCATCTTTAACCCATTCCCAATGAGAGTAGGGTTCCTGAACTACCAGCCCTCCTCCCCCATCTAATTCCTCTGTCAGTTGTTCCTCTCACACCTCATTTGTACAGATAATTACTCTTTTTGCCTTTTCCTAAATGGTTTTACTTTTTAGAATCACATCATACTCAGGTCTACCCCAATCTTTCTTTTGTCCTACCCAATTGCTATTAACATCCTTAGACATACGTTTTATATTTCCTCATATAAAAGTGAACAGTCTGTCCTATTGAGTCCTGTGTAATTAGTCTTTCATGTATACCTTATATTTCTCTTGGATCTTGTATGTCAAACTTTCTAAGTTCAGGTTTTTTGTTTTTTGTTTTTTTTTCACAACAAAATCCTGAAAGTCTGGCAATGACTATCCTTTTTTTTTTTTTTTCCATTCAGGATGATACTTAACTTTGCTGGATATGATATTTTCAGCCACAACCCCCATTCTTTTTCTCTTCAATATACAGTGTTCTAAGACCTGTGGTCTTTTAGTCTCTCTGCTACTAGGTCTTGTGTGATTCTAATTGTGGCTCCACCATATTTGATTTTTTCTCTTGTTGACTGTAATATTTTTATCCTCCAGCTGGGGGCTTCAGAATTTGACTATGATATTCCTATAGTTTTTCCTCTTAGGATCTCTTTCAGGTGGTGATTGGTGGATTTTTTTTTCCTGTTTCTACTTTCCACTCTTGCTCTAATGCTTCTGGACAATTTTCTTTATTTCTTGTATTATTTTATCAAGATTCTTTTTTTTAATATAGCTTTCAGGTAGTCTGATTATTCTTATATTTTCTCTTCTTGATCTGTTCTCCAGATCAGTTGTTTTTCTTATGAGATATTTCACATTCTCTTCTATTTTTTGTTTTA